ACACACACACACACACGTTGTGGTTTGCAGTCCAGTGCTTATCCTATAGTGCTGCATTACTAAAGAGAGTCTACATCTTCAGTGCAGGTCTGGGATGACAGAAACACAAGGCCCAAAGAGGAAAAGAAAATTCAGAGGTTCTGAATGGATGTGAAAGAAAATAAAAATCAAATACGATGGGACCACAGCTGTCACCATTGCTAACAAGTAAGTTTTGCAAGAAGTGAGCAGTGTCTTAAATACCACTTACAGAGGAAACATATTGAATAGGTAGCATTTTCCCCTATATTGCATTAACTTCTTGATGGGAGATTCCCTCTAAGCTAAATCTAAAGTCAACTCTGATATTGGACTGCTTAGTGTCTTGGAGGTGGTGATGATTATGGTAGGGGTCATTTTACAGGAGTGGTGGGGATGAAAGTCCAATTGGAGTGGGCTCAAAAGAGAATAAGGCAATAAGGCAATGAGTGTAACTTTTGTAAAAAGTGTTAAAAAACAAGGAAGCAGAAACGTGACAGTACTTGCAAGAACCACGGAGCACAGGATTCTTAAGGTAAGTTATAGTAAAGCATGTTTGTAGACTGACGGCAATAATTCAATCATGAGGGAGAACTACACAATGCATGAAAAAGAGAGATGACTAAAGAAATAAAGGGCCCATACACGAGAGGGATGCAAATGAGAAAAGAGAAGGTCTAATTGTATATGTGTATATTTGAACAGAGGCACAATTAAATGCTGACAGAAATGAAAGCAGTCTTTTGGCACAGATATCTTGGATAAGTTTGTGAATTTGGTGATTAAAAAAGATAAAGTAGTTTTATCAGATTAAGTATAATTTCTTTCAACAAACTATGCAGTATGATCTTCAGTTGAAGAGGAGAGAATGAGGCCACAGAAAGCTTGAAGAAGAAGAAAAGGGTATGTAAAAATTTTCTCACAATAAATGAGGGAAATAAGTTTAACAAAACTGAAAGGTGATATTGAGTGCCGATTCATTTTTTATTGTCATATAATAAAGAGAGATCAGGCAGAATAACTGTGAAATTTTCTTCTTAAGGGCTAAATTCCTGGGTACAGACGAAGTTGCCAGTTTGAAGGTTTAGCCAAGATTAGCAGTAGACAAGAGGACAATTAAATTAAGGATGTATATGAGAGAGCTAAATCTTGTTGAAAATAAAATCTTCTCCTACATCTTGATCTGCATGCTTATGGTTCATGGCAGAGTTATAACTTTAAAAACTCATATCCCAATTCAATTTTAAATTTTTTCCTAAAAATCAGATAATTCAGAAAATTACAATGTGTTTAAAACAACTTAGGTTAGAATCCTTGATGTGCAGAATTTCACAATGAATGGTTACTGAAATTTTGCAGTGTAACAGATGCACACATACCTGTTAGAACAATATCCTTACCTTGGTGTTTCCCAGGAAGTCTCTATATTCTCTTAGTATTTTTTGGTTTCTAAATAGCCCTATAAAAAAAGAAATACAAGTTTACCTCATACATATTCTTATCAGTCACATTTTAGATTAACATAATTATTCTCTTTAAGACTATGCTAAATATGCTCTACTAGCTACCAGCAAAAATAGCAAGCTATTATAGAATTCTAGATTTGCAATAAAAGGAGTTTAAGGAAACTTTATTCTCAGCATTGACTACAACATATGAATTATTTAACCTATACACAGAACCAATCCTTCACATTTTAGCTCAAAGATTAAAAAAGTAAAAATTTATTCTACTTATATTACTTTGCTTTCTCAAATTTTTGTATTTAAAGTGATGCCCGTATGTATAAAGCTAGTCATCATATCAGTATTTTAATAGCAAAAAAATAAACACTGGACTGCTAACCATAGGTCAGCATGTCAAACCCACCAGCTTTGATTAGAGAAAAATGTGGCTTTCTGTGCCTGTACAGAATTACAGCCTTGAGAACACTATACAGGGTCAATGTAAGTCAGAGTCAACAAAATGGCACTGGGTTGGGTGGGTATCATTATTAATATGATGCACAAGTAACATTTTGCTGAAGATAATTCAAAATTGGCTGTAGCAGTATATTGACAGGAACTACCAAAAAAACTCAAGCCAGATTCAGAAGTGGTCATGCAACCAGGGATAACCCTGCTGATGTCAGATGGATATTGTCTGAAACCAGAGAATACCAGCTTTCATATGCATATGAGGTTATGGAAAATACCATTACTTGGGTCAGGCACACCTTAGTCCCCAAGCTGATATCTTTGCTCTTCAACATTTTAAAAAGGTCTTGTGCAGCAGATTTGCCTAATGCAATACGTCATTTGATTTTTTGACTGCTGCTTCCATGAGTGTGGATAGTTGATCCAAGAAGAATGATAAGAATGTTGTTTATTGGGCCAGTGGTGAGGATTTTTGTTTTCTTGACATTGAGATGCAATCCATACCAAAGGCTGTGCTCTTTGATCTTCATCAGTAAATGTTTTAAGTCATCTTCACTTTCAGCAAGCAAGATTGTATCATCTGCATATTGCACGTTGTTAATGAGTCTTCCTCCAATCCTGCCACCACGTTTTTCTTCATAGAACCCAGCTTCTCGTATTATTTGCTCAGCATACAGGTTGAATAAGTATGGTGAAAGAACACAACCTTGTCGCACACCTTTCCCAATTTTAAAACATTCAGTGTTCCCATGTTCTGTTCGAACAACTGTCTCGTAGTCCAGGTACAGATTCCTCATGAGCACAATTAAGTGTTCTGGAATACTCATACTTCACAATGTTGTCCAAAGCCTTGCATAGTCAATAAAGCACAGGTAAACCGTACATCAGTAATGATATCCCTTATTCCACAGCCTCTTCTGAAACCGGCTTGAACCTCTGGAAGTTCTCTGACAATGTATGCTTGCAGCCATTTCTGTATTACCTGTATTGTCCGATGATTTCATAGACTATACAAATATATGGATCATAAAAAAATTAAGTATGAGTTGTGAAGAATAAGAATTTTTAAATACTTTAATATGCTTATACAGAACTTATAGGTAGACCAAGGCAGCCATATGAAAAAAAACAAAGGACAGTGTATGGTTCACATCAGGAAAGTGTCTGTCCATGTTGTGTCATTTCACCATACTCAGTTAATCTGTATACAGAACTAGTAATCCAAGAAGCAGGATTATCTGAAAAGTAACACAGCATCAGCATTGGAGGACGGCTCATTAACAAACTGTGACACGCAGATGATACAACCTTGCTTAATGAAAATGAAAAGGACTTGAAGCAGGTACTGATGAAGATCAAAGGTTACAGACATCGGTATGGATTACAACTTAATGTTAAAAAAAAAAAAAAAAGCAAGAAAGAAAGAACTCCTCACAACTAGACCAACAAGCAACATCATGATAAATGAAGAAGAGAATGAAGTAGTCAAAGATTTCATTTTACTTGACTTCACAATCAATGCCCATGAGAGCAGTACTAATGAAATCAAAAGGCATACTGCCCCGGCAAATCTGCTGCAAAAGACCTTTTTAAAGTGTCAAAAAGCAAAGTTATTATTTTGAGGACTAAGTTACATGGGATGCAAGTGATGACGTTCTCAATCACCTCATAAGCATGGAAAATATGGACAATGAATAAGGAAGACAGAAAAATTGATGCATTTGAATTATAGTGTTCGTAAAGAATATTGACTATACCTAAGGATTGCCAGAAGAATGAATAAATCTGTCTTGGAAGAAATACTGTCAGCATGCTCCTTAGAAGTATAGATGTTGAGACTTCGTCTCACATACTTTGGATATGTTATCAGGATGGCCTAGTCCCTGGAGAAAGGCCATCCTGCGTGGTAGGGTCGAGAGTCAGTCAAAAGAAGAAGATTCTCAATAAGATGGATTGATACAGCAGCTACAACAATGGGCTCAAACATAGCATTATGAGGATGGTACATGACTAGAAAGTGTTTCATTCTGTTGTACATTGGGTCACTAAGAGTCAGAACCAATTTAATGACACCAAATAACAACATAAAACATGGAATATTACAAAAGGAATTAGGAATGTCTATCTGTTGCTATAGAATGCTCCCCAGTACCTATAGTAAAGTGAAAAAGTGCAGAAAAGTATGTATAGTGTCAATGAAAGGAGAGAGTTAATGAATATGGCTTGGGTTTTTTGGTTTTCTTAAGAATTTCATAGGCCATAGTTTGTCAAACCCAGCCACTGAAGATGGGTTCCACAGCATCAACAAAAGTTTAGTAAGAGTCAAGCACATAGTTTCTATAAGCGATCCATGAAGTCTCCCTCTCTGCTCCACATTCTAAGATCGGTTAGAATAAGTTCCAAAACTAAAACAAAAGGACTTGCTAGAATTAATCAGTATGTGGGCACTGACTCTGATATAGATGCAGTCCTCTATTATCTCTTTACCAAGGGCCTTGAAACAAAAATAGAATGACAAGAATAATTAGGAAACAATGGAAGTTAATTCAATTTATGAGAAATACAGCAACTTGTAGAACACTATCAGGGACCCAAAGGAAGATTAAATAAAAGAAAGAAATCACATCACTAAATTTAGGTGATTAAGGAACAACTATATGGGCTTCCAACAGCAATATAAGTCCAAATTTACTAACCCCTCAAATCCTAAGCAAGCCTAGCCATTTCCTAATACTGATAAAAATCAACATTACAAGGAATATGAGCACTAGAAAAGAAAATGTCTTATCTAATTTAAAAGGGAACCACAGTAACTATGCTCCTCTGGGAAATCTAAGGGCACTCAATTACATATTTCTGTCATTTAACTGACGAAAGTGGAGTAAACCTGACTGTCAAAGAAAAAAATGTACATGTTTTCATAGATAGCAACACCTCAATTTCCACTTTAATCCTGCATATTACCATATCCATTCTCCAGAGTAACCATATGATAACTGCTGTGGGAGCTTGTAATTTCCCAAAGGAATACACTCTACATTAGAACAATATTAACTTAACAGCAATACCAAGGTTTCCAGGGCACCCTGATTCCAGTATGTGTTTCTTCCACTGAAAGTGACTATCTCACTGCAGTGGATTTATATGTAGATCTCTTTAGACTGTAGATAAGAGCAGTTAACAACTGTTTGCTTCTTTTAAGAGGTTTAAAGCCCTCTGTTACTAGGGTTTACTGAGCTCCCCTTGATACTTTTCAAAATGCCTAAATGATGACATAATAGATTTGTAATATGTAAGGAAATCTACACTTGTTCAATATGTAGTTACTTACTATTATACTCATATATTCCAGGCCTATAAGAATCCCAAAAATGTTCCTTATAACTCCTGACTAGATTAACCAGAAACGGATGTGACATTTTCGATTTTGCCAAGAAATGATCCATTAACTTGGAAATGAAGAATCAACAAAAAGCTACTAAATTTCTTTGCCTGAATTAAAGCTATAGAAGAACACCTACACCATATAATTAAAAGTCATTAAGAATTGAATCACTGTTTACCATACAGCTGGGTTTTTTTTTAAAGGAGTTTATACTCTAAGGCTTGGCTTCAATCTTGTTTAATAAAGGCTGAACAAAAACAAAAAACGGGCACCCTACACTTTCAGTCAAGGTCAACCTAAAGGAATTCGGAGACTCTAGGGACTGGGACTTCTGGTGTAGTGCTGTAGGATCAGCACTGGACTGAGAACCACAAGGTTGACAATTCTCTGACAATACTCGATGGCACTTAACTTGACAAGCCACTGCAGGTGGCAGATATCTAGCTTTTCTAAAACAGCTAACCCATTATTACCACAAGAATTGACTAACAAACATTATGTTATAAAATGAAATATTTACAAGCGAAATACCATGTCTGGGATTGGTTTCAAAATAATCCAGTAGGGTGGGAGGTTAGTGAAACAAAATTGTTGAAAACTAAATTAATATCCACAAAAAGATCTGTAAATCAATTTTAAAAGGGCAATCTAAGAGTTCGATGGCTAGACAGCGGCCCTTGGCCCTGTGTACTCCCCGTGGTCCCCAAGGGCACCAGCGGGCCGGCTGCTCCACCTCATGCTCCCCAGCTTCAAGGTTGCTGGGTGTGGAACTCGGATGGCACTGGTACTCCTCACACACTCCATGGCAGCAGCAGCCACACCAGCCCGCCCCATCCTCACCCATCCGCCTCTGCCCCAGAACCCAAACTTCATCCAAGTCCAGGATTAGCAGCATTGGAATTATGTCTTTATTTGAGGACAACAAGCTGTTGAACAGCCATTGTTACCTGTATTGGGGATGTATAGCATGCAAGCAGGAGGCTTACAGCCTCAGTGGGGAAAATGTTTTCATGTCAGAGACTGAGAATTCTTGCAGGCATCATTTTTGTCATCTTTCATCTCAAAACAAAATACCAGAAAGCTGCAAACAAAGATCTCTTCATCTTACTGAGAAGACCACTAATAAGCCAAAAGATCTGTCAACATCCACCGCAGTGT